TGAATGTCCAAAGTTCCCAAGTTCCCAAGTGCTGAACCTAACCAAATGCCATTGGTCCAAATTGCTGAAGAAGACAAATTTTTTTACTTACCCGAATTTCCAAACCAAATTTTTTGCCCATGTACATCCCTACTTACAATCCCCCTTAACCTGCAATGTCCCTTTAATACTCTCCAACTTGTTAACCATTTAAGAAAATGTTTTATTCAGTTCAAACAGTATCCCCAACTCTGAAGAGTTTGGCTGAGATTTTACATATATTGTATTTTTTAATAGATTGCAGAAAACACACAAACGAAAAACTTCAAAACAGATTAATTTTGGTTTGGTGGAGAGAAGGAAATCAATGCTTTTACATTGTATCGAGGTGGCGGACTATTCAATTGTCAGGAACAATTGTTAATATAGTTTTATTCCATGCTGGTGGAGTTGATTTATGGATGGTTAACAGTACAGCTTATACTTTACATAAAAAAGGATTTATTTCAGCTTTACTTTTTATTCCCAGATGTTATACTAATATGATCAGAATTTTTTTCCACAAACGTTATGGAAATGTGCAACAAAAGTAAGATGCTAAAGAAGGGATTTTAAAATGTTGTCAAGAATACTGATTTAATAGCTCACAAAGATTTGGAATATTTTACAGTATATATCTTTATATTTTGAGTAAATTAACCCATTATTGAATGAGTTTTTTTGCAAAACTCCAAGCTCTTGTGACTCAGGCCGTTTCTGCACATTTGCCATCTGTATATTCTTAATGTTATTCCTTTCTGTCTCATAAAAATAACAATCTAATCTCCATAGACATTACAGCTGATAAAGTTTGTGTGGTCATACGAGTGCCTTGGTGCAACCACAGAGTAATCTCTCAAAGCATTCTAGTATGATATGACACATACTGAGTCCCCAGCAGTGTGCCTGCGATGCATCCAGTCTTCTCAGAAGACGTATGTCAGTTGGTTTAGCAGGACTACTGCGTCAGTTCATTCACTGGCTGCGAGCTCTTAATGACATTCTCAGTCAATGACTGTCTGTCTGGGGTGCAGTGTGTGTGTGTACGGTGCAATATGTGTATGTGGGGTGAAGTGTGTGTGTGTAATATGTGTATGTGTGTGTGGAGGATGCAGTGTGTGTGTGGGGGGGAGAGGTGAAGTATGTGTGTGAGGGTGCAATGTGTATGTGTGAGGTGCAATGTGTATTAGTGTGTGTGAAGGGGTGCAATGTGTGTGTTAGTGTGTTTTTGAGGGATGCAGCGTGTATGTGTGCCCTCCTGTTATTTTACAGGCTTTCTTTCTCCAGTATTTAGTGAATAACCCTGTTAGTGTGGTGCTTCCACTCCCTGGCAAAATTCGATGAGGAGACTAGGCATGGAAGCAGCAATGGAGCACAGATCAGGGGACTAAAAGTGAAGGCCCAGCAGATGTCTCTCTACTCCCATTCACTCTGTATGTGACATAGAAGGAAAGTAATTCGGCCGCTGGTGCTACATTCAGGTAGGGAAACGTGAAATATATATTTTATTTCCATAGTGAGTGTTTGTGTATTAAAAAAAAAAAAAGGGCATTGGGGGTACACCCAGAACATGAGTTTCTCAGCAGTGATGCTGGCACAGAGACCAAAATTTATACAAATTACAAATTAAGGAACAGCGCACACACAAAAATACAGTTTTACATTTTTCAAGGCTTCTTAAAATCCCCTGTCTCAGCAAACAAATATGTTCCACCATAAAGCCATATGGTGTTAAGCCCACCACTAATTTTAACATTGGAGGCAAATTAAATAGTGCTGAATGACCTAAAGTGAATTTAAATAATCTGTATTTTTGAATTTGTGTTTTTCCTCAATCTGTATTGTGTCTGTGCAAGTGTCAGTGTATGTTTGCCTATTAGTACCTGCGTCTGTGTGTGCCTGTCTGTGCCCATGACTGTCACTTTGTATGCCAACAGGATGTGTGCACCTGTGTCTGTATAATCAAAATTCAATAGCTTTGTTATTAAGATTACACACACAACCTTCACACAATCACACTCACCAAACCCCTCCACAAAATCATGCCCTGACACACAATTACATAGAGATTGTCTCGATAAAGACACTCAGCCAAGACCCACACACAATTGTACTCCTCCCTTGCACAATCACACACAGTTCACTCAGGTCTATTGCTTAGCGAGGAAAATGGGGAACCTTCTTTGAATCTTGCACGGGGACCCCTGACCTGCAGCAATCATATGCAGTGTACAACTCTAGAGCCCTCTGAGAAATTGCCACATGTTAGTTGATTACTAATCCACCCTGCTTTTAAGGAATACAATTTTTCATCATTTAAAGACCAATGGAAGTATATATTACAGAGTGTAAGATGGCATTGTGCACTAATATAAACAATCAGTTCCAATGGGTAGTTGCAGAATTTTATCAGCCTCCATTTTGCAAAATTTATTTTAGTTGAGAGTTTAGTGCCATCTAGTGGCCAGTGTGTATAAACACTAGTGAAGACAATTTGTGCACACCAACTTAATAGTGCTGCTAACTTTATTTATGAAGGATGCTCCGACCTTATCAAACTCTCCATCTATTTGCTAGAACAGCCTCCTTTTCCGAGTCGCTGTTAAAAGGGAACTATCACCTCTCAGGATTTGTAATACTATATTTACTTACCCCTACAACTGCTGAATATGTATTTGTAAGAGTGAGAAATAAAATATGTAGAAACCCACATCTTATGCAGCAGCTGAGCACCTCCATCTTGGCTCCCTCTCAATCATTGCTAATAAAAAAAAAATGTGTCCTTGGCAAATGGCAGTTAGCATAGTGCAAATCCCAAACTCTGGCCCCACAGATGTTGCAGAACTGCAACTACCATGAGTCTTTGATCATCTATTGCATTCAAATCATTTTGGGAGTTGTAGGCCTTCAACATTTGGGAGGCCAGAGTTTGAGATTGCTGGATAAAGGAAGCGCACTGAGAAGAGGATAAAACAAACACGTTTCAATTCCTCTTTGTCATTGTCAATGTAGCAGACCACAATGTGAACATGGGACAGAATATTTCTTTAAAGTGGTACATTGAATGGAACAAGCTTTATATTAGCCTTCAAAACCCTTCCTCGCTCTCAACTGCAATGCACATAACTATAAGTGGTGTGGGTAAAACTTTTGTAATAAGTATATAAGTAATAATAATAATAAGTATTATCAGGGGGATACTATTTGTTATAAGGGGGCAATTGGTGACATAAGATAGATTGACTATTGGAGCTATACTTACACCCAGGATTTAGTCATTCACACTCCCTTGGATTGTTAAGCTCAGATCCCCTTGTCACTGTGTAATACTTTTACAAAGAGCTTTCATCATTCTAAGGGGCAGGGGCATTACTAAGGTCCAGAAAAACCTGGGGCAGAAACCAAAAACAAAATCCAATGATCCGTTAATTAACAGGAAATGGACAATTCCCTGTCTTACTGTTATATCCTCTAACAGGGGTGCCCAAAAGGTAGATCCCCAGATGTTGAAGAACTACAACTGCCATGATACTTCTCATCATCTTACCAAACTCCGGGCCTCCAATGTTGCTGAACTACTACTCCCATGATTCTCAGCCTATATATTTCATTCATAGATTAATGGGAGTTGTAGTTCAGCAACATCTGGGGGGCTGAAGTTTGGGGAAGCCTGCTTTAGAATGAGAAAGCATGGTGGAAGCTGTAATTTTAAAACACTTGGGGGATCTACCTTTTGGGCACCCCTGCTCTATACCCATGAACAGCAGTTATTTTTTTCCAGGATCTTAATGAAAGCATAGTCAGAAACAAACACATGCACAGGGATGGGCTGCAAAATGCTGTTATTAAGCACCCATTCACAACAGTACGTCTACATGTAGATATCCAGAGTTCAAGCCTCCAAAGCCTACGGTTTGGGGATTTGGGAAACAGTGAGTAGATTTGATTTCAAGCTTCCCTCTCATTCACAATCACAGAATGGGGGAAACTAAGAGTCTGCATAATTTTGCTTACTTCTGTTACTGATTAAAAAGGAATAATACAAACATTTACTTGGTTATTGCCTAAGTTGAGAATTGCTGGGAATTCAAAATTAACTTTAAACTTTAGCCCAAAATTTCAAAAAATTCTCCAAGTCAATTCTGTTTTCAATTTGAATATAAGGGCCTTAATGGGATACTCAAAGCACCACTATAACTTTAATACATTTCACAGGTTTCGCAAAAAAAAAATATTTTGCACAGGGAGACATAGCATATCAACTTGGCAGTCAGATTTATCCTTGGATCAAGAAGGTATTACCCTATAGTTGAAAAAGTATATCATTGAATTTTCTGTTTTTGCAAGTTTGCATCCAGTTGCTGTTTAAACATCTGTACATGCTCTGATAAAACCACTTCTTCAGTCTGAGAATTCCACATCCTTATAGTTCTTACAGAAAAAAAAAAAAAACCTTTCCTTTGTCTTAAAATAAATCTTCTTTCTTCCAGTCTAAAGGCATGACCTCGTGTCCTACGTAAAGTCCTGTTTGTGAATAGATTTTGAGACAATGGTTTGTATTGGCCCCGGATATATTTGTTTGTTATCATATCCCCTCTGAGGTGAGGTTGTTCTAAACTAAAGAGGTTTAAATTTGTTAACCCATTATTCATAGCTAAAATGTTCCATTCCTTTTATTAATTTTGTAGCCTGCCTCTGCACCTACCTGAAAACCTAATACATTGTAAGCTTGCCCTCGTTCTATAATTACAGAGCATTCTTGAAAATATTGGCACTCTATTAATCCTAATCATGGTTTTTAGTTTCTCTGATTATCTATATTATGATTGTAAATTAAGAGCACCTCACTCGGTGTTGTTATATTTGGTAAATTAGTCTTCCTGGGCTGCTGGGGCATGCTTATGGTGCAGCATTCTGCAAAACACTTTCTGTGCAAAAACTATGAAGATTTGGGCATGCACAAAACACAGCTATTGAGGAGGCCAAAACGTATTAAATGTATTAACGTTGTACTGGTGCCCAGAGTCCTTTAAATTGAAATTCTCTTCCCAGCAATGTGATCTTTAGCAAATAGCCCTGTTAGCTTCTTGGTCACTAAAAGCCTCGTAAAGACATTCATCTGCCCTTAAATCATAGTCTATCTGGCTAACGGCCAGGGACTGTACATGACACTCTTTTCAAACTTAAAGTCTGCAAAATCATCATTACTTGTTATGTGAGAGATATGAAGTTTAATCCAATGACAATGTTTTATGCAGGACTTTTTTAATACAAGACAGTTTGTGCTGTATCACAATAAGTACTGTAAGTGTGCGTATTCCAGGATGTTATTTTATTTGGTGGTTTCCTTCTGCACCAACTACTCTGAATTGTTTGGAAAAATGACAGGGCTGAAAATTTCAAGTGTTACTATACTAGCTAGGTCTTACCTCACTCACCAATAACTGTGAATGGAAATTATACATTACTTATACCCCTGTAATTCTCCTGTACTTCAGCAATTACACAGAGGGGAAGAACTAATGTACTGAATGACTTTGGAACCAGTGCTTTCCTTTATGTTCGATTTGCCCAGTCCAGTTCTGTATTCCCAACATTGTTTCCGCAATGATTTTTACTGAATGCTGTGATCTATGTAAGCTGGATGTTTCTTTGAGTTCCCAAGAAGCTGGTTTGTCTCTTCCTTAAAGGTCTCATAGGTACATTGCTACTCATCGTCCTCTATCGAGTAGTTACTAACAAGAGTATTGCCAGAGGTCTAGATGGATAGAATATCCTATAATACCCAGACACCAGTGGAGTGGATCCTACATTGACTGTGGATACGCTACCAAAGCAGATTACTAGCATTTAGTGATGCTGAGTAGGTAAAAGAAACCCATTGACAATAGAGTCCCTGAACTGGCACACCTTCAGTGCCAAATATTCCAGGGCCATATCATCACAATGGTCATTTTATGTTCTGGTGTATATCTGGAAGGATGAGTAATATTTTGTTGATTTTTTTTTTTTTCCTTCAAAAAAAAAAAAAGTTATCTTGCGTTTTATTGTTTTCAAAAGCATATAATAAAATGTCTTGAATGTGCAAAGGGGGACAAATATCTGACAGAAAACAGTATATCAAATACCTTATTGATATTCATGTATAAATAGAGGATGGCTGCTTAATTGATAGGATTGCCAGAAATAAACATTGTACTGCAAATCAATAGGGAAAAAATAAAATAGTAAACATAAAGACAGCTTTGGGGGACTGTCCTTTCACACCTTTTTCTTAAAGTTGCTGCCAACACATCGTTGCACTAATATTTGGAAAACTGTGAACTCCACTTCCTGTGAGGTTCAGCCATTCACCAGCACAATAAAAGTGAGTCAATGACGACGTCAATGTTTTGTAGTCATTTGCTTAATTCATTACTAATTAAAACATGCAGGGCAAAGTTCTTCCAGTGCATATGCTCAAGCTCTCCACAGGGCACAGGCAATATATCAGTCTAAAGTCTGATAAATTGGCATGGATTAAAAGAACATTGTTTATGAATCTCCTCATACAGATGCATTGACTTAATGCATCTCTATGGAGAGCATGGGGACTTCCAATGTTAGATCTGCATTCTTTGCAAGACCAAAACCAGGAAGCCCCTTGAGTGGCTCTCTGAGTGACAGGCACTCGAGGTGGCGTGTGGTAGCAATGTAAACACTGCCTTTTCTCAAAAAAAAGGCAATTTACTTAGGCAACACTGCAGGGACAGTCTTGTTACCCCAAAATCCATACATCAAGCAGTAGTATTTCTACTTTAATTAAATACATCTATTAGATACAGGTTTTGGAAAGTCAAATTTTAACCATTTCCCAAATTGTGTATGTGTGGGTGTGTAGTATATATGAGAAGTTCATTAATACTTGCCCTCTTTGGTGATACTTAGGAGTTACCATTAAGGAATGGTTTAATGATAATTAAAATAAGGGACAAAGGGCAGAATATTGCAGTATATGTCCTTTGACAAGTAATTGGGGAGGGAGTATATTGCTTTCTGTCATTTCAAAACATGTTAAAATATATAATCAATAAGAAAATAGAATTTTCATAAAGTTCATAAATGTCTTTGTGTCTTATGCTTTCCGTTTCTTTTTAGGTTTAGGCTCAGATTCACTTAAGGAAACATCCAAAAATGTGCTTTCAGCTTCCCGGTTCATTACATCCTTCTGTAATAAATGCTCTTTATGCTTCTTTTTATGTTTGATTTTCTTTGGTATTTCTTGAGAAAACTCCAAGCTTTGATCGACCGGTTCATGAATATTTGTGGCACTTCCTGCGCCATTAGAAAATTCTTTATCCAAATCTTTCGTTTTATGGTTCTTTTTGTGTTTTTTCTCGATATTTTCATGCAGAGGTTCAGTTACAGATGTTAAATCTTCAAATGCATTGCATTCTGTAACAACTGAATCTTCAGTCAAGCCATTTTGAACACCATATTCTACATCAGCTTGTGAATTGTCTCGGTGTCTTTTTTTCTTAGTTTTTTTTGCCTGTTTTGCCAACAGTAAGGGGTTGGAGATCTCACTCTCATGTTCAAAACAACTAACATCAGTTAGAAGTGTCATACTATCATTTTCTACTACATTAGCTAGTATGGAGGTATCTTGGTGGTTTTTCTTTTTCCGTTTTTTCTTTGTTGTTTCCATCAATGAATTGTCGAGCGTGGAAGTGACATCAGATACAGTGTGGCCTTCTGATGCCATTTCTTCTGGAAATGTTTCTACATATTTACGTTTCTTGCCTTTTTTCTTAGGTATTTCCTTAATGCCCATATCTGTCTCAGTCACTACCTCACTAGTGACGGATTCACTCACTATAGGATCAGAGGGATTTCCGGCATCTTGATTTTCATTTAGGTCTTTTAACTTTTCCATTGCTAAAGTTTCCATGCTAGGTGAATAAAACAAACAAAACATAGATTAGTAAACCGTCACTTAATTCAACAAAAGGTACAAGTATAATTTAAAAGGTGCAAACTATGTGTTATCTTAGTATAGGCACAATTTCATTATGCTCTCACACATGCCATTTACATCAAAGACCCCACTAGTTGCTATTGAAAAGGTCTATTGTGCATGGAACACAGGCAATATTACAATTACCTCCAGTGCACTTCTGGATAATTAGTGCTGCCAACCTCCCAAAAGTCCTAAATGCCAATATATAATTTTTTTCTACCATTTAAAAGGATACTATTCATAAAAAACGAATGAATAAAAAAAGCTTTATTTTGGTCCTTGAGATCTATTTTATCACTCCAATATAGTGTGTGTGTGTGTGTGTGTGTGTGTATGTATGTGTGTATAAATATATATATATATATATATATATATATATATATATATATATATATATATTTCTACTTCTACTCATTTATCCACTGCCTTCTTTAAAATGCTTTTAAGTAGCACTTCTTCACAAAAAGTTAGTGTTAGGAAGGAGCAGAAGTACACGCAACTAATTTTGTCAATGTTTTGGGTGGGTCTTAAAGCTGGGATGAGCGTGTGCTAGGTGAGAACTGCTGGATACAGTGGAGGAAAAAGTAGAGGGATTAAAAAGTGGATACAGAACGTACTGAGGATAGAGAAAATATTTTCTATATACAAACCAAAATCAAAGTTCATCTCTGAGAAAT